TTTTTTTTTTTTTTTTTTTGCAAATACTAAATATTCATCTGTTTTGCTTTGATGAACTTTTTTCCTGCGACAAATTCAGCAAATATGCATTTGATACTGTGACTTGCGACCAGTCGCAAACAATTTTTGCGTCTAAAAATACTAATGCAATCATTAGAGCAACCATTTTTTGCCTTTACAGATACATGATAATCATAATTTGCGCGACTAAAAAGTTTAAAATATCATCATCATTACTACCACTACTACTGTCACTATCGTTAGCACTGTTATATTTTTATGACTATTATTACTATCGCATGGGGATAAATATGATAGCACAATTGTTATCAGTTACTTTCAACACAGTATTTGTCACTTATTTTTTTATAATTATCAGTCATTTCCACTATTCATGAGATTTTATTATTCAGATAATAATAATAATTATTATTATAGAGAATACAATTATTTGAAGTTTCAGATTAATCGTAATTTTTTAACATAAATCTGTTGTCAACTATTTTTTTTTGCATGTATATAGTACCGACTTTTAGATGTACATATAGTTCAATTAACAGTGCTTAATAATTATAATATACGATTGATTTTACGAGGAATTAACATAAATTTGTTTAGACAATGAAAAAGATAGTAGACGATATATTCGGGGAGCACGGTGCATTTTGGCAAAACCTTACGGGACCATTTTGGAATACAGTTAATGCATATGGACCCGAGAGCGATCCACTAAAACCAACTGTGTCCTCAGAACCACAAAAAGAAGCAGAAAAACCTCTGACGCAACTTCCGGAACCAATGCCTCTCCCACAACTACCGTCTTTTTGTAAACCGTAATTTTTCAATTATATATTGTACTGTTAATAGCACAGTATAAGTTAATATGTACGATAATAAACAGAAATTCAATGGTATAATATATAAATATTTATATTTATATGATAATAATAAAAAGACTTCGACAGAATGGTTAAAAAAATTGTCAAAAATGCTAACGAAATCATATATATTTGTAGAAAAGCGTAAGTAATCACTTCGAAGTTATTAAATCGTTGATTTCTGTTACGAAAGTTTTACCAAGGAAAAAATTATCATCAGTCCATATCAAATGGTAATAAAAGTATGGAAATCTGAATAAATGATTCTGAACTTGGAATAATTTCATTGCACTCTTGTTTGTACGCACAGAAGTAACAGCTATGAGATAGATGTTCATATGACAAATATTTTTGTAATAAAACTTGGTGATTCTAAATGAAGTAGCTAAAGGACAAGAGAAAGATTATAGAGTGGTCAAATGAAATAAATAAAATGGCTATTTATTTAGACGTGAAAATTAGTTTTAATGAGTGAATTTTCAGTAATAATGGATAGTAATCAGTACTTTGAGAATAAAAAGAGATGCCATCCAGATAGAGAAGAAAAGATTGAGAGTAAAGATGAGAACTGACGCACTGAATACAAAAAGACTAAGAGTGAATCATTAAAAAGACTTCAGAACATGAGAATAATTTATAGTATTTTTTGGGCACTTCGAATTCAGTCAGTGTTGCTATCACCATTAATGAATGAATGAAAATCAGAACGGTCGCTAGCATCTCGTGTGAATCCTTCAAAATGATAACGCTCAATTAAGAGAATTAATCAAAATTGCACACATACCGCAAATTTTTTAAGCACTAAATGACATTCTTAACCGTTTTATGAATCTAACTCGAATTATTTTTGATTAGTGAATAAGAATATAGCACATTTAATTCATGAAAAAATAATGAATTTAAAAAATTACATTAGTTACATTTTGTAAACAGAAATAAGAATTTTTAATACTGCTTCTTTTTATAGCTGGAAAAAGTAAACATAGATGAACCAAATTAAACACGAGAGTAGTATTCATGC